GGTACTTTCCAATCGGGTCCACCCGAAAACGCCGCTTCGCGGCGTCCGACTATTCGCTAAAGTGTCATTCGATGAAACGTGGGCGTTCGCTAAAACGTCATTCGATCAAGTGAGTGCCTCCCCTGCAGCATTTCAGTATAACAAATATTGTGAACACTTCGAAGATTGTGAGTACTTAGCTGAAAAAAGGATGTTTCTAAAATTGAAATACCTACAGGGCTACTTCATTGTTTGTAAGGACAAAGCTTAAAATAAGTGTAGAAAGAGTTAGGCAGGCAAATGGTATTGGTATTGGAATTATATATGTCTGGTAATAGCAAAAAATAAGGCAGATTTATTTGCACGGCACCTCATGTGAAGCAACTTGAGGCAGTGGATTTGTATATGCATCAGAATGTTCAGGTTTCACTCCCATTTCTTTGTCTAGATAAGGAAGTGTTCATACAGAGAAGATTGAAAATGGATTGCTTATGACCCAACGTATATAGCCTCATGATCCTCCCATTCTCATGACATATTCTATGTTTTTCAGAGATTGACTTCAAAAAGTGAAAGCCGTTTACAACTCCCTGTAACACCGAATTAGAGCGCAGCTCTTGAGGAGGAGGAGGGAAGGGTACTGGGGGGTGAAGTGACCTGGGGGGGGGGTCACGTGACCTTCGGGGTCACGTGACGATGCCGATGATGTCATCAGTGACGTCACTGATCACGCATCCGTGATGATGACGATGCAGATGCCGGTGACGTCACTGATGACGTAATCCATGACGATGACGATGCGGATGCCGTGACGTCATCAGTGACGTAACTGATGACGTCATCAGTGATAATGACGATGCGGATGCCGGTGAGGTCATCAGTGACGTCACTGATGACGTCATCAGTGATGATGACGATGCGGATGCCGGTGACGTAACTGATGACGTCATCAGTGATGATGACGATGACGATGCGGATGCCGGTGAGGTCATCGGTGACGTCACTGATGACGTCATCAGTGATGATGACGATGCGGATGCCGGTGACGTCATCAGTGACGATGACGTCATCGGGGAGGTCACGTGACCTCAAGGGGTGGGATCACGTGACCTTGGGGGTCATGTGACCCTGGGGGAGGGGTCACGTGACCTTGGGGGCCACGTGACCTTGGGATGACCTTGGTGGGTCGCATGACCTTGGTTGCGCCGACGGCGACGCCAACGCCGCTCAAGCCGGGAACGGGCCCCTAAGAGCTGCGCTCTAAAACTTAGATAAAGAAGATATTTCTGTAGCGAAATACACTCAGAAAAAGGCACAGACAACGAATTGATGTGAAGTCCATTCGTTAATTTTGCAAGAGCATTTTACTTTACCAATCATAACATTTATGCTTCTAGTCGGTAAACTTGTGTATCAGTTCTAAGCTACTTCTGGAACTTCCTAAACCCTATCTGAGGTGTCATAATAATATGGGCATAGTAACCAACACTCAAGTCATTAAAATAGACTCATCCAGTGTGGGTATCATAGGAAAGTAAACTTTAGCCATTTTTGGTCTACATGTGTATTTCCAACACCATTTGCTTAGCAAATTATATTGTATGATGTGAAGATGCCAGCGAATTCATCACAGCTGGAAACCATAATGACCTCATTAATACAGCTAACTTGGCTTTGACAGTTCTGGATACAAGGGACCAAAGCATTCATGAATGAACATACACTTGAGGATGCTTGAGCCTCCATTCAGTTTTGGTGGCCGTTGAGCACGCTACACCACATTGCAATCGTGCAGTGCAGAGCAGCACAATAAGCAATGTGAAGGAGCCAAAAAAGTAGGGATCTGCGTGTGGCAACCCTTTAGAGAATTGGAGTCAGTGTGAATAAATCTATTTTTCATAAAATGATTAAGCTCACACTATCTCACAGTGTCAATATGTAAACTCCAAAGCAACCATTTTAAAAGTCAGCAAGTATATTTATTCGAGAACAATGCTTTAACCTTTTCTCACAAACTGCATCATGCTGATCCTACAGTACGACCTCAAGTCTCTTTTTAGTTTCAATTCTTACCTGTGGATTGAAGTGCAAATATGTACTAACAGTTGGCTTGTATGATTTGCCTACATTGGTTCGCACCAGTTCTGTGCACAAAAGTGCGTGTGAAACGGTGCAAAAACAGTTGAGCACTGTGCTTTCAGGGCCGTACCCAGAAAAAAATTTCGGGGGGGGGGGGGGTTTCGGGGACAACGGCGGCCATTTTGAAAGTGTCTGTTGTCTTATTTTCACCTATGAATTATGTGCATCGGTGGCATATAATGGAGAGTTACAGCAAACCGGAGAACCGGTCCCGGTTTGGTACCCGGTAGCCGACCGGCGCCACTGCGCGTGCGCAGAGGTGGAGATTAAAATCGGCTGGCTGCCTGTGCACCGACCAGGGCCGTACCCAGAAAAAAATTTCGGGGGGGGGGGGGGGGGTCAGAACCCCCTATCCCCCCCCCCCTGGTTACGGCCCTGTGTGCTTTTATTATGTTTTGTGATGGACCACCACACACTTTAAATGAGGCAGCGTGGACCAAGTATGAAATGGTACAAGAGCTACAGATAAATCAAAAAAAGTTTATTGATAACTAACTTCTGACAGTTGCATACAATACTATGCTAGGTGAAAGCAAAGCCATCATGCAGGAAACTCCTCGCCTGCCTCCATTCATGCCTTTGGGTGTCGCCGGTGTATATTAACACAGCACTGCTGTTAACTTTTCTTTGACTCTAATACAACACGAAGGAGTGTTTTGCACTTCAATAACATTGAAAGGGCTCGAGTTTGTAGGAATTATTGTTTTCGCACGCACCCTGCAGACCAAGGGGCTGGCACGAGTATGAGGTCTCTAACCCATGACGGAGCAGACGCTGGCCAAGTGCCATCACCAGTCTTGGAGTGCCAGCAAGGCCCCAAAAAGGCAAAAAAACAAAAAACACCGGCCAGGAGCTCCTCACGTAGTTTCTTGTTTTGCTTCAGCAGGCCGAAGAAAACAAGGGGAGGCGGCATCAAGAGAGGATGGCCCTTCTCAAACGATATGTTGAGGCCTTCGAAGCGACAAATAAGCTTCTACATATTCCCTATATTTTTAGTAAGAATTAACTGAGCCCAATGATCTGCTTCACAAGCAGTCTTTTAATCAAGGTTTGTTTCTGTGTGCACTCGTTGGTACTTGAATTATTTCATAGGGCATACTGAACCACCCTCAGGTAGCTGTACCACTGGTGTCATTCGAATTATACAAGCGATATTGAACTCTTCATTTAAAGCGGTTACTACACGAGATGGGAGGTCCTTCCCAAGGCGACTTTATGTACTTGTTGGCGTTTCCATTAGTCTGCTGCAGCCTACGAGATAGTATAGCACAATTATTTCATAAAAGTCTGAATTAGTAAGCTTTAGCTTCGTGTGCAGGAATGCTAACTTAATAAAATCACAACGCTCGCGCTGCATTTTAACCTGGATACCTGGGAAACATCTACTGAAATATGTAATACTTCACTGGAATTGGCCTAATCATGATATCCACAATTTTTGCACTTCATTTTCGCCAGTCTTGCAGATTTAATATCTTCAATAATACATTTGTCTGTACAGCGTGCGACATTGTTGGCTGGAAGTAGTGCTCGCCGGTCTTTCCTGTGTTCTGTTCAGAATCAAAGGGCTGTAACTGCCCATTCGGAGCAACTTATGCGGTAGATTTTCAAGCAAACCATGAGCAAGTGTAGAAGTCATGTGCAGAACAACATGCTGTTAACCTGCACCAACGCCAAATACTCTCACATATTTATGGCAAATGAAACAGGTGTATAAAAACAATTGTACCTTGTTATAATAAAGGCTAAGAGGAGGACTATAATAGTTGTGGGGTAAACTCAGTAGGAAGGGTTAAAACAAAAAAATGATGAACTAATAATGTTATGTTGTTTTTTCTGTAAAATACCAGCGAACATCCATCCGAAATATTATAGATAATCTTGAAAAACTGGGGTATGGGTGCTTGCTAGATCCAAGAGCAAATATGAAGGGGTACAAAACGGTGCATGTCACATGTGCATGTGTGACATGCTTCACCGCTTTGCTCCGGTATGCTCGGAGAGCAGAGAAGCGTCTCGGTCACTCGTTGAGCTCGCAACTCTGAGGTAGGCACCTGATATGTTAATTGTTTTATTTTGTTTTTAACTTTTCGGATGTAACAGATAGGCACTTATTGTGGCAAGTGATCGTGGTGTGGTGGTCGGCTGTAAGGGGCAATAGAAGGAATACACTCATTTTATTATAGTATACTATACGCAGGTCAAAGATTATAACTAGGGTTCCACGTTTTCAGTTTCTATTTTCAAAATTCGGCATACTTTTTTGGGCGTTTATTTTCAAATTCAATTTTCGTTTTTTTCGGCGTATATTTATATCCACAAAAGTTTATCGGTGTTTAGTGCGGCACTTACTGCGTCATGACCTACGTAGCAAGATCCCCAACGTTGCTAAATTACCTCCCAACTAAGCTTCACAGGCATCCACCAGGTGCACATTGAAAGATAAGTTTAATTAGATATAACTTCAGTTTTCTTGTACCTTTCAAGGGAAGGATATTGATGGCTGAAAAGAAGGAACTGTCGTTTAACAATTTGCATTGACGAGGATGCCTGTGCTGAGGAGTGTCAGCCCAATAAAATCAGTCCGAATTTCTCCTAGACTCCCAAGTCTCTTTTCATACCATCCGAGATTCCAGTGCCATGCCTTCACATGTATTAAACAATAGAAAAGAACATGATGTCATCTCCTGCATAAGCCAGCTGGAGAGCAGGGATTGGGTTATTGTCAGAACAGATACCAGAAGCCACCACTCTCTGAACTGCTACAGAGATCCCAGCATCAAGCAGGATGGCAAAGCACGAAATTTCTGAAGAGCTACTCTGCCTGTGGGACGTTTGCTTCAGCTAAGGTATGCAATGGCAGACAAAAGGATAACAGCACAGCAGATGCTTATTTATTCATTTATTTATTTATATTTTTAAATAAATTTGTATTAATATTTACCCTCGGGCCTTGAGGGTAAACAAAAGTCTGATTACATATTTATCATCCACAGATTTTGTTAAAGCCAAACGCAAGAGTGAAAAGAAAAAAAATCATTGCAATAAAGATATGCTTTTAAATTAATTACACAATGCAAAAATAAACACACACTGAGCAACAATTCAAAGGACCCTGTAATTAATCAAATTCATGGCTGAGTTAGTATTAATTGAAACTTGGCTTCACCGACCGTCCTCATTCTAATAAAAAATATAAGAATGTTAGCCATGAGCGAAGCAGAGAAACAAACTATTAACCTGTGTTACACAAAAACAAGCAAGAGGAATTTTCCAACATATAAGGACACCTACATCTCAAAGTAGATGCCATATAAACACATGATTGCAAAGATGCCATGCAAAGAAGGAAGGCAAAAACAGAGTATAAGCACATGAGTTCCAAATTTTATAAAAACTTGAGTCAATGCAGTCCTGAAGGGGCACTACACTGTTTTCAGAGTGGGCACAGTGCTAATTTATAGCAAAACCTGCTGGGCAGTGCGAAGGATATTCAACTAGCGATGTCCCAACCGGTAGCAGGAAATGATGTGGTGCACACACACGTGTGGCGATCAGCCCCCCACCGAGGGAACTGCTAGAATGAGGTCTTCCCACAATACAGGACATCAAAAGAAAAATCTAGGAAAAAGTTACTTCACACTACTTAAGGCCCGTTCACACACTTGCGTTTCAATACGACCAACTGAGACAAGACCGGCTTTCAAGCCTCTTGTGACTGCTGCCTACCGTCTGCACAGAAATGCAAAATGCCGTAAGCCCTCACAAGAGGCTTAAAACCGGTTTTTAGCCTATCCCGTCGTAAGCAGTCTCAGGGGTGTCAACGAGCCGTTACTTCAGTACCAAAATCGGCAGCCGCTGAAAGAAACAATACAAAACGTTTAAACTGCCAATCTTTTTACTTTTTAATAAACAAGATTAAATTCTGGTTACACATTAACTTTTGTTACATTCTATCTTCCTCGTAGATAGTAGTATAAAGGGAAAACTATAAAGACATTTTTTCAAACCTATTAGACCTCGCCTCAAAGAGCACACCTCGAGCGAGTTCAAGGGACTTTGGAACAAGAGCTAGAGCATGACCCAATGTACATTCAGGTGCAGAACAGAGTAGCTGCTCTGAGAAACATTAAACAATGTCGCATATTTATTGACCCAGCTTCTAGATCACAGTTGGAGATGAATCATTTACTACTGTCCAATACATTAGAGTGATGACAAACAGTGGCATTTGGACAAGAGGCTCCAGAGCAAGGTCAAATAGTCTGGCTCTGTCTGCAGTCTATACGGCCAACGAAGAGGGAATTCCAATACAAGTTTCTCGGAAATTGCTGGCACTTGAAAGGCCCACTTTGTTCAGGTTTTACGCAAATGCTCTTAAGGTTTGTGAACCTCATGGGTGAGCATGTGCCCGATAAGGTAAGATAGGATAGACAACGTCCTGGGAAACCGCAGGAATTTGTGAGGCTTATTGCGCATAAAGGCTTCAGTGTGGCGAACTTAAAAAATAAGCAAAGCCTTTGGGACCTATGTTCAACTCGGGTATATGCATACTTCGATTGAAATGGCATAAAGTTCTGCGCATGAGTTAGATGATTACACAGGGGGCATGCTTATCTTACGGGTCAACCACAAGGCATTCTGCATGTGTGCATGTTCTGGTGGGTAAACTCCTATTCTGAGCAAAGCTCTCAGGCATTCTTTGCCCTTGTAAGGATTTTAAACACTGTGTGTTTGATGATGACGGAGCAGATTACTACTAAGAGAAAAGGCTTTGGGGCACTGCTTGCACTTAAATGGCTTTTCACCCGTGTGCCTTCGATTATGACTTTGCAGACTGGAATATTCACCAAAGGCTTTGGGGCACTGCATGCACTTGAATGGCTTTTCACCCGTGTGCGTTCGATTATGGCTTTGCAGACTGGAATATTCACCAAAGGCTTTGGGGCACTGCTTGCACTTGAATGGCTTTTCACCCGTGTGCGTTCGATTATGGCTTTGCAGATTGGAATTGTCAGCAAAGGCTTTGGGGCACTGCTTGCACTTAAATGGCTTTTCACCTGTGTGCGTTCGATTATGACTTTGCAGACTGGAATATTCACCAAAGGCTTTGGGGCACTGCTTGCACTTGAATGGCTTTTCACCCGTGTGTGTTCGATTATGGCTTTGCAGATTGGAATTGCCAGCAAAGGCCTTGGGGCACTGCTTGCACTTAAATGGCTTTTCACCTGTGTGCGTTCGATTATGACTTTGCAGACTGGAATATTCACCAAAGGCTTTGGGACACTGCTTGCACTTGAATGGCTTTTCACCCGTGTGCGTTCGATTATGGCTTTGCAGATGGGAATTGTCAGCAAAGGCTTTGGGACACTGCTTGCACTTAAATGGCTTTTCACCGTTGTGCATTCGATTATGTCTTTGCAGATTGAAACTGTAAGCAAAGGCTTTCAGGCACTGCTTGCACTTAAATGGCTTTTCACCAGTGTGCATTCGATTATGACTTTGCAGACTAGAACATTCACCAAAGGCCTTGGGGCACTGCTTGCACTTAAATGGCTTTTCACCGGTGTGCGTTCGATTATGTCTTTGCAGATTGAAACTGTGAGCAAAGGCTTTCAGGCACTGCTTGCACTTAAATGGCTTTTCACCAGTGTGCATTCGATTATGACTTTGCAGACTGGAACATTCACCAAAGGCCTTGGGGCACTGCTTGCACTTGAATGGCTTTTCACCCGTGTGCGTTCGATTATGGCTTTGCAGATTGGAATTGTCCGCAAAGGCTTTGGGACACTGCTTGCACTGAAATGGCTTTTCACCCGTGTGCGTTCGATTATGTCTTTGCAGATTGAAACTGTGAGCAAAGGCTTTCAGGCACTGCTTGCACTTAAATGGCTTTTCACCTGTGTGCGTTCGATTATGATTTTGCAGACTGGAATATTTACCAAAGGCTTTGGGGCACTGCTTGCACTTGAATGGCTTTTCACCCGTGTGCGTTCGATTATGGCTTTGCAGATTGGAATTGTCAGCAAAGGCTTTGGGGCACTGCTTGCACTTAAATGGCTTTTCACCTGTGTGCGTTCGATTATGACTTTGCAGACTGGAATATTCACCAAAGGCTTTGGGGCACTGCTTGCACTTGAATGGCTTTTCACCCGTGTGCGTTCGATTATGGCTTTGCAGATTAGAATTGTCAGCAAAGGTTTTGGGGCACTGCTTGCACTTAAATGGCTTTTCACCTGTGTGCGTTCGATTATGACTTTGCAGACTGGAATATTCACCAAAGGCTTTGGGGCACTGCTTGCACTTGAATGGCTTTTCACCCGTGTGCGTTCGATTATGGCTTTGCAGATTGGAATTGTCAGCAAAGGCTTTGGGGCACTGCTTGCACTTAAATGGCTTTTCACCTGTGTGCGTTCGATTATGACTTTGCAGACTGGAATATTCACCAAAGGCTTTGGGGCACTGCTTGCACTTGAATGGCTTTTCACCCGTGTGCGTTCGATTATGGCTTTGCAGATTGGAATTGTCAGCAAAGGCTTCGGGACACTGCTTGCACTTAAATGGCTTTTCACCAGTGTGCGTTCGATTATGTCTTTGCAGATTGGAACTGTGAGCAAAGGCTTTCAGGCACTGCTTGCACTTAAATGGCTTTTCACCAGTGTGCATTCGATTATGATTTTTCAAATGGTATGTTTTAGCAAAGGATTGGGGGCACTGCTTGCACTTAAATGGCTTTTCACCTGTGTGTGTTCGATTATGGATTTGCAGATTGGAATTGTATGCAAAGGCTTTGGGGCACCAGCTGCACCTAAATGGTTTTTCACCTGTGTGCATTTGATTATGGCTTTGCAGATTGGAATTTTCAGCAAAGGCTTTGGGGCAAAGCTTGCACTTAAATGGCTTTTCACTCTTGTGCTTTTGAGTGTTGTCGATCATTTGGGACTTGGAGTCAGACATGGGAGGATGCTGGCACTTGGCTTGTTCATCACCATGAGCAGCCAGGTGGTTCACAATTACATGCTGATCTTTGGTGACATAAGTGCAGGAACAGCATCTGAACCAGATGCCCTCGGCAACTTTCAGGGGGCAGCTGGTCTCCCCCCAAAATGTGGCTCCATCACCTAGAAGAAAAGACCATGTGTATATTGACACAAGAAAAGCACAACCAAGACAGCCACTTAGTTTGGAAAAGAGTAGTCATTAATGCATTCTTGCTGCTGCTACACAGTTTAATATTTTGCTGCGCTTTAAAATTCGATTCACGGAAGCACTCAAATGCAACTGGAACCATTAAGGGAAGTCACTAATCTTGAAAACAAAAATCCCTAAAAAGATTTATATATGTATTTTATTACCTTGATTTCTTATTCCTACTTTACATATCTTGACACTTTAAAAGGGTTTTTTGGTTTGAAATCTTTTTTGTCACAAGAAAATGATTTAACTCACTATAGTCGGTTACAAGTGAAGAAGGTAGGAGAAGCTCCTCCCATAAGCGTGATGCGTCCGTTTGAAATCCATCCGCAGTCGAAAGAATAGTTCCCTGGAAATGCCCCTTGTTCCGCTTCAATGAATTGATAATGTCTACAGAGTGATGCCAACTTGTCTCCGACCCCCACTTTTTAAGAAAGCAACCTTTGTATTCATCGGGGAGGGAACCGAGCCCCTAAAAGTGGCCTTTGTATCCATCGGAGGGGGAACCTAACCCCTCAGTCTTTTTTGTTTCCATCGGAAAGGGAAAATTCTAATCTCCCTCTTCTGGCTTGCACAACGCTAAGTCAAATTCGAAAGATAAAGCAAATATTCACAACAAGCCAAAACCCTCTCCCGCGTTGGCCACGACGTCACGGCAACGATAGGACGCTATGGGATGCGAAGGTGGCGGAGGGATATATGAATCCCTCTGAGGAACATTTTCCGCTACCTTCTTGACCTGTAACTTACTATAACTTTGGATTATAAATCTGGGTCCAACTACTTTTGGGGGGCTGGATACCTAATTATTCAGAAAGTGGAACGAAAACAATATTTCTGGAGATTGTAAAATATGTCGTTCTCTAATAGTAAATGACTTATTATGGCCAGTCAGACTGAAAGTTTTGCTTGAAGTTAACAGTAAAAGAATTTCAACATGTGATACAGTCCTGTCCTGCTAATATAAACACCCTACAATATAGACCGTTTGGGGGCCCATCCCTCCTTATGCAACTCTGCCTAGTGAATATTAAAACTCGCAGTGCAGTCTACGGACATCTTGTTTTGGAAAGAAACTGGGTAAATACATTCAGGTTTGTCTTATTATTACAGACACACAAGAGTCCACTAATAAAAGAAAAGAGATCAGTTAAGACCTTGGGTTACAGAATTCACCGAGAGTTTTACTGTCTGCTGTTGGTGGCACTTCGTTCGGAAGGCATGACCATGGCACCGAAGATTGGCTAAATTTAACTGTGTTTTACACCCAAATGTGCAACATTTTCTTCCCTTCCATTATGTTCTTCAGGTTCATCATCTGCACCCACTTTCTAGTTTGTCCGGCCTCTTTCGTCTATGCACATTTAGGGGCAACCATGTTTTGGTTGAAAACCAGTCCGGTAACCATGGGCACACATTGCCAAGGCGATAATTCCAGGAGAACTTAGCTGGATCAGGCTAGAGTTCCTGTATAGGTTCCCTACAGAAGCCAGAGTTGCGCGTCTGCTTTCCAAGTGCAGCCGCACCACTATTCACTGAGATCCGATCACATGAGGAGCAGACTCAAATGCTGTGCAGGAAAGTAGACGTTGCACGCGTCCCAGTGTACATTCCTCTACTTTTGAGCACGCTGTGTGCCTTGAACGTGCAGCACCGCTATTCGCCGAATTCCGTCACATCAGGAGCAGGCTCCAAATGGCGTGGAGAAAAGACGGCACTACGGGAATGAACGCACAACTCTGGCACCTGCAGGGAGCCTATACAGGAACTCTAGTTCAGGCCAGAACAGGAGTCCTAAAGGAACACTGACACACCCCAAAAATTATTATTGTTTTTCCAGACGATCTATTACGGTGTCAGAAGACAACCCAAACAATATTTTGCTACAGCGTCATATATTTTTGAAAGTACAAAACCGGAAGTGCTCGAAACCAAAACTGGACTGGGGAAGAAGAAATGTAGAGAAAGTTACCAGAAGCGTGTCCCTTTGAAAACCCACAACTTTGATTATCTTTGGTGATTCTCTGTAAACCATAGAAAATGGCACGTGACCGCTCAGAAAAAAGAAAACGCAACTCAAACAGGCCAGTTCCCGATCGGCCAGTAAACGGTTCTATAAGATTTTTAGGCCTTAGGCTGCAGTGTCTCCCCACACACACCGGCTGGCTTTATGAACCAAGGAGTAATAAACCCCTCCTGTCGTTTTCGTCTGCCCACTCTAAACTGGTAAAAAGGGGAATCATCAACATTTGCCTTAAGAACGCCCTTAATAAGTCCTGCTTTCACTTAGTCAAGGATAGCTTTAAGAATCAAGTAGCGAGGCTCACGGCCGCGGGCTACCCGTTGCGCCTCTTAACGGCAGTCGCAGAAACTCTACTAAAGAGAAGACGGATTGAGAATGCTGAACATGTTAACAGGAAAAACAGGAACATCACAGTACTACCGTACCTACACAAAATATCCCATAATCTGAAAAAAGTGGGACGCCGAGCTGGTGTTCACGTGGTCTTTTCGGCTCCAGACAAGCTATCTATGATGTGCAAAAGAGTGAACTCTCATGTAATAGAGAGACAGGTGTGCACCAAGAAGCACCAAAGCCAGTTTGTTACATGCGTTGCGGGTGTTGTCTACTCTATTCCCCTGTCCTGTGGCCGGAGATACATAGGGCAGACAGGACGTTGTCTTAATGAGCGTTTAAGAGAGCATCGTTATGTGTCTCAGGTTGTGTCGGGGCACCTTGGGGTGCATTGCCGTGATTGCGGATGTACTCCGTTTTTTGAACGATGCACGGTCATCAGAAAACAAAAAGATAAACTGACACGTGAGATTATAGAAGCCCGCGCCATTGGACAATCGGGCTCTGAGTGTGTTAGTGCCCCGTCACTTGCCTTGACAGAAAAGGAGTGTATTTTTCTACTCAGATCGGAGAGCAATGGCGTTTGCAGATGACTCTAGGAACACGTGTAGTCCTCCTCTTGTGTTTCTTTTCTTGGCTTTTGGGCCGGGCAAATTGTGTATTTATACAGGCTGTCAGTGCCAATAAAGCTCAGTTGTAAGTCAGCGCTGTGTGTGTCTACCGCCTTCTACTCTGTCCTTGTCCTTGCGCTGTTTGTTTTCCGCTAATAGTTCTGCTCTTATAGTTTTAATTTGCCTTGGGTTAATTTTTTTTTCTTTTCAGCTTTTTACCGTATTAATCACCTATATGGCAATCTCAACCATTCACGCCTTCAGAAAATATCACCATTAAAATACAAATATTTTCTGAGAATGCTGCTAATAAAATTGTGAGGAAAGCAGAAACTGCCATACGAAAATTTATACAATAAAATCCCGTAAGGGCGCCCTCCCCGAGAGATTGCTCATCCAGTTTTTCTCGCTAAATATCTGTAACATAAAAATTCCGAAACATTGTCCACTCCCCGATTCCCATTAGACTTTAAGCGATGTCCGACGGGAATCGCGCATCAACGGCGCGATCTGCGGAAACAGTGCATACGAAAAGAGAGTTCAAAGCGGGAACCTGCATTTTTGTCTGCGACCTGCGCGCATGATATCGGCTCCCGTAACACGTGAGTTGTTCCCACGTGTATAAAGCATCGTGAAATGCAAATGTGCTGCATTCGCAATATCCGTTCCCGAGTTCGTAGCGGATTCCCGTAATTTTGCCCGCAATTTGCACGTGCAATATCGAACGCGCGAGTTGTTTCCGCGTGTATGTTGCATCGTGAAATGCGATTCTGTTGCGTCCGCGATCTGCGGTTTCTGTTTTTGTCACATGCGAGTTTGTAGCGTATTCCCACATTTTTGGCCACGATCTGCACGCGTGATATGGGCTTCTGTGACAGGCAAGATTGTAGCGGGTTCCCGCGTCTTTATTGCATCATGAAATTTGAATCTGCTGCATCCGTGATCTGCGGTATCCGTTTCCGTGAGATGCGAGTTTTCGGCAGGTTTCCGCGAATCCATCGCACCGTGAAATGCAAATCTGCTGCGTCGACCACTTGCGGTATCCCTTCCCGTGACGCAGGAGTTTGTAGCGAATTCCCGCATGTTTATCGCATCGTGAAACGCGAATTTGCCGTGTCCGCGATCTGCGGTATCAGTGCACGCGTCTCGTGGTTTGTAGCGGGTGCCCCAGTGCTTATCACTAATTTTTAATAAAGTTTTGCTGCGGCATCCACAAAGATGTTTTTCACCATTTATCTTTTCATTTTTGGTGGGCATCCTTACGGGATTTCACAGTATATACAATTGAACCTCAATTTAAAGAAGTCACCGGGACCAACTAATTATAAAAAGAGACCTCGCGCATAGGCTGCGCGGGGAATTGGAATTCGTTCGTGAAATCGGGAAATTTGTAAAATCGAGGTCCAACTGAGAGTATATATATATTTTTTAGAAATACTAAGCTTGCCTAATTTCGGAGCGAATTGTTCTATTAAAAAATGCCAGCACATTGGTGTGGCAATGCCAATGTAACTTGTTATCACAACAGGTAATGGCCCAAAGTGGACCTATAAACAAATTAAAGTTCAAGACATTGCTGGCAAAACTGCGAGTTCAAAAGAAGCAGAGAGAATGAAGTTACTTCTTTTTAAAATCTTTCCCCCCCCCTTCCAATTCCACCTTATGTTGACCCTCAATTCTTTGGGGCCAACCATATGGCCCCCACACTCAAATGAGTTTGAGACCCTTGACGTAGATCGCATCAGGCCAAGAATAAGCCCAATTGACCATTTGGCCTTTGCGCCAAAAGTTGTGTCCCTATGCGGCAATGCATTGGAAACTTGGCTATTTACATGGGAGGCATTTAACAAAGTTGTAGAAAATCAATTGAGTCTTTTTTAAGGCAAGACACTGGTTCTAAAATCGACTTTTTTGTTTATTAATGGATTATAATGAAAATCAGTGTGTATATGTGTTTTGG